TATATATATATATATATAAATCTATATTGTATATTTTAAAATTTTACGTTGTTCAGAGATCAAAGTTTTAAAAAGTTTAGAAAGTTAAATTTATGACTTTTTATTTCTTTAATATATAAAAATAGATGTTTAAAATGATTTTTAATTTTTATCATTGTAGCTTCTCGTGCAATTTTATAAAATAATTTTTAAAAAATCATAAAATAAGATTATTTTCAATTATATAAAACTTTTTTATTAAAAAAAATTAATGCAAAAAACTGAGAAGTTATATTTGTTTTAATTTAGTTTTTCTACTATTTTAAATTAACAAAATCGAAGAAAGTTATTTTTAGAAAAACGAAAAATTAAGTAAATCATTTTAAAAACATTTAAAATATTTATTTGAAAAAATTCAGAAAAAGCTTTTTTTATGGATATTTTTGGCTTAAATGTATGATTAATGACTGAAGGAAGTTATTAATTGTTATCATAAAATCGCACATTATGAGAATATAAAATAAACAATTATCACGAATTAATTAACATAAATTAATCTCTCTAATTAAAGAAAAACTAGCATTTTTTAATTATTAAAACGTTATCGTTCAATATCAAATTTAAAAAAAAAAAAACACATGTTTTAGCATACTACAAAAGCAGTTTTATAAAATATTTTTTAAAATTAGTTCCAATTTCCCTCTAAAAATTATATATTTATTTTAAATTTGAAAAAAATTTTAGAAATTAATTTTAAAAATTTTATTTACAGAATATTTAAACTTTTCAATGATTTTTTTAAATTAATAAGCCAGTAAAATATTTATTTTCGATTCATTTATTACTTGTACGAAGAAGAAATTAATAGAGTTTTATTGGCAAATTTGATGTAAAAATCTCATTTTATTCCTCGAAATTATAAATATATTAAAATAAATATCCAAATATCATCATTAGAACTTTTCGTCTTCACAAAAGTTAACCTTGTAAAGACGAACGAGCAATAAAGACTCATTTAAAACTAAAATTCTCACAACCGCAAAATTGTTTTATAAACAGCGATGAGAAGCCGGTTTCGAAACGCATGCTGGGTGATACTGCCGAGCACGTGACAGATGGGCGAGGTCGCCGGAATAGACGTAACTTGCATGTTGTGAAGCAATCTCCTATCCTACAAAAAGAATTTGTAATCTTTTATTCTTGAAAATCAGCGTAGAATATTGTGACGACACATTTGCGCAACTTGAAAAGATACGTCTGAAGTATTATTACACTGTTGAATTTATAAAACCGACGATTAACCTCCCTCCAGATTCTCTCCCATTGAGTTTTATAGGACATTTCCTGTATATAAAAAGTGGTCCTACGCGGAAATTGGGCTTGATCTCAATTAAGAATTATGCATAGGATAAAGTTTAATATTTTAATATACAATTTTTTTTAAAATATATATTTCAAAGCTTTATTTATTTATTTTTTTTTAATGTACAGAAAAGATTTTTCCTTATACAGATCTAAAATTTATTATCATTTACATAATGATTTGTAATTTAAGAATAATTTTTTTTTTTCCTTTTATACAAGATTTTATCGTAATTTCGGGTTTCGTTTCTATGTTTTTTTATTCGGCGTTTTTTCTGAATTACATAAGAATTAAAAAGATTTTCTAACATATTGCATTGAAAAACTGTTTTAAAAAATAGTCTGCTTTCAACAAAGCCATATGGATTCGGATCAATGAAACCGGAGTTTATGAATATGTATGATGTGGCGATGGCAGTTACAATTATGAATATGTATGACACGTTGATAGCAGTCTGTTCATGAAGAAATCGTTAAAAGAATATTAATCGCCGAAATTGGTTTAAGATTAGATTAAAATATCATTTTATAAATCCATCAAATTCCTCAGGGATTTATTTATTTTCCGATTTTATGTTCTTTCTTTAATTATACAATTTAAAAATAGAAAAATTTCATAATATATTCTTTTTTAAATAAGGGTATTGTTTATATATATATATTTAAAACTTTGCAAGTAAATTAAAAGGTAAAATAGTCTACAAATAATTTCTCTGCACGAATGATAATAGTTTTGAAATGATATAATTATCCTCATTCCGAACGATTATCATCAAGTGAGTGGTCATTGGGTTCATTATCTTCCGGTACAACCTAATCTTTGGGCATTGCGTAACTGTCTGCAAGCAGTCGTAAACAAGGCTGACTGCTTTTTCTTTTTTTAGTCCGTAAAATAATACAAGGATCAAAGATTATTTTCACAGACAAAATATACGAGAGTAAAACTATAAAGCACAAACATATTTTAATTTATCATCATTTTTTTTTTGTTTTTTTATTATTTAAATCTATTTGTGAAGACAAATTATTTAAATTACAATATACAAAAAATTCTTCTGTTTCTTGATAATTTATCCTGCATAAAATCCTGAAAAGAGACCATTTATTTTATGTATATTGCACTATGAGAAAATATACTTTACATGATATAAAAGGACTATACAATACATTTAACATGACTCATAAACCTGTTTTAAGTACTTATACTAAGTACAGTATGTAGGACATGCAATCCTTCTATGCATGCAAACTAATAAACAATGTTAAGAGGAAAATATTTGAACATAATTTGAAAATAGGTTCAATTACTGTTCTGAGTGTTTTTTTTAAACATATAACTGCACACATATTCATATGTGTAATTCAAATATAATAAACTTAGCATTCTATTCCCTTTATACTATAAATAACATAACATGTAATTAATCTAGATGTCATGTCTTAACAATTTTTAAGCTTAATATTAAATAGATAATTGAGTAATGGCTATTGACTAATGTAAACTAATATAATCTAATTACATATGGCTGTTATTAATTTAAATAATTTTTCATATTCTTTATGTATATCTACCATACAAATTAGATTATTATAAATATTACTGTGCATTTAGTAATTTAATACTATTAATGGTATATTTAAAGATTTTTATACTTTATTTTTTATTACATAGATGTTTAATCTGTAATTTGATTCACTTCTAATATTTTTTGTTGAAGAAATCATTGAAAGAGATTGAAATGATTAATTAGTACTATGCTTGTTCGTTGATTCAAAATAGCTTATTTTTTCCTGAGTAAAAATTATATTTACTTTCAAATTTTCAATTGAGATTCCACTATTGTTTTACATTAGTCACCTGAATAATTAAACAGATGGTTAACATTTTATAAACTAATATATTCTTTCTAGACTTCATAAATTTATTTGGAAGAATATATCAAGTATTTACATTGGAATCTATTTTTTTATTTTTCCTTAAATATTTGAATGTTATGTATAAATACCACAAATGCTATGTGTAGTAATTGAATTATATATATTGGTGATAATCATTTAAATCACAATATAACAAAAAACAGTTTTTATAAGTATTATATTATTTTAGTATTATTATTACCTAATAACAACACCTCTTAAAATTTCCATTGTTAAAAAGAATTATTAGTTGATGGAGCTAACTCTTCCATTTACAAAACAACATATCCTGAAATGTAAAACAAAACTATAAGAATTCAATTATAACTGCATTTACATATTTTCACTTATGATATGATATTACAAAAAATTAAAATATATTAACAGTCAGTTCTTTAAATATAGATAGGAATTTATAAAAGTAAAAACAAACTTTTTAATGAACAAAATTTAAATATTTTAAAATTTGGCATAATAATTTAATATTAAGAATAAAAATTACATTTACAGATTTAACTATTGAATGTAAAATCAGTATTTATAAAAAAAGTGCATGGTCAAAATGTACAGATTAAATTTGATGCATTTTCAAGTTGAAGAGGCAATTTTTGATGAGAAGTATTGTGTTTACTTTATTAGAATTTATGTCAAATATAGCTGATAACATTCAGTCTACAAGATAAATTGTATCACTATAACTTCATAATCTCTATCCTTTGAAAGATAATGTATAACCAAAGTAAGAAAATAGGACAGTTATTTTATTGTTTTAATTCTAAAATAAGAAATAATATCTTTTGTAGAAAATTTTATTTGTCCTATTTTGCTTATAAAAATTTTTCCAAGCTAAATTAATTTTATAGCTAGTAAATTTATCCAAGTATTACTGTTTCCTAGAGAAACATCCTTCCCAATCAAAACAAAATTCAATAATTTGGTATCAAGCCAAATTTTTTTGTGTTATATTCTAATTACACTATTTTATATAATTTTAATAAGATTTATATTTAATAATTAAAAAGAATTTTGTCAAAACTGCTTTTAAGTACTAAAAACTTGATTAACATTTTGAGGCACAGTTGCACCTAACTTCAGGAATGGTGCTTTAGTTGTTAATAATATAAGAAACAGGAAAAATAAACTCACATATCACAGTAAGCTTAACTTCTTTCGTGCGATAATGACCAGTAATTGTGCTGATTGCATCACATCTGAACATGGAATTGTTGTCACTTGAGATTACAGTAAATGTATAAACATTAGTAGTCTCTTTAGGATTGGCAGTAAAGGTATCGTCAACCTGAACATCATTACGATACCATAAAAGATTGGCTGGTGGATTACCTCCACGACAGATGCATGCCAATGTCAATGTATCACCTTCTTGTATAACATCACCATCATGGTAACCTTCAATTTCTGGCATTCCTGGTGGATCTAAAATATTGGAATTGTTTTCACATTAATATAATAATTGATTATTCTAAATACATTAGTTTTAGTTATAAAGAACAATAAGTAAAAAATTCATTATATTTTTTTTATCATGCAAAATTATTGAGATATTTTTAGAATGTTGAATAATAGGAATAAGAAACAATTTATAATCAAATATAGCTAATGATAAAGAAATGTAAACTTACACAAAACGTTTATAGTCAGGTCTGATCTGATAGGAGATGACAGAGCAGGATGGCTAGCCTCACAAGTATAAACAGCTCCATGATCATTTAAAATGGCATACAATTGTAAAGCACTAATTGTTGTATAAAGTTTATCATCTACTATCTTTTGTTCATTTGGAATAAGATCTATAATGAAAAATCTTTATAATTGAAATGAAAATAATTATTGTTATAGTTAGCACTAGAAATTTTTATTTGCTCTTTAGAAAATATTTTTTGACATGTTAAAATAAAAAAAATAATTTATATTCTTTGAAAATTATTTTAATTTTGAAAAATTATAGCACACAAATATCTAAACAGATAATTTGCTTATTAATATTTAACTGAAAACCTAATTCTTTGAATAACTCTTAAAAATACTTAAGTTTGAGATTTATTTTTGCTTATTTGCATTCATCTACAATGTATTCAAATTATATATTTTAAAAATTATTACACATATATACATATATGTATATTCAATATATATATATATGTATATTCTAAAATATAAATAATTTATTTTAGGAATAATGATGATAATTAATGGAGATTTATTGTGGATCTAGAACCATAACAGCTAACTCTAAATTCTGAAGTTTTTCAATAATTATTATTATATTTAACGTGTTCTATTTGAGACCACAAACATATTTAGAATTCAAAATAGTTACATAAAAATCACAAATTTTTGGTAAGTAATCAAATATTGCCCCAATTTTTAAATTTCATTTTCTGAAAATTATGGTTTCATAATTAGCTACGTATGATGGCCCATGATATATATAAATATAATTAATTAATAAATACCAGTATTTTCAGATCTTTATTCATTTAAAAAAATCCAATTTTACATTAGAATTTATTTTGATATTAATTTATAAGCCACTGCTGACCATCAGAATTAAATTATAAGTTTGAATTACATGTTATTTAATTAAACAATTTAAATTAGGCTTTGTAACTTTAATAAAGCATAATGAGCATAATTACTAAAAAAGATGTTTTTATATGAATACATCATTAGATTAAATGAATTTTAGTAATCTATGCTCATATTTAGTTATAACAAATAATTTTCTTTTATGATACCTACATAAATTGTAGAATTGCAAATATAGATAATATAGATGTCTGTTCTGCATTAAAAAATACTTACTGCAGAGAAGATATGTCAGTAATAAATTCAGCTATACATTGGTTGCAAACTTGAAAATTTATTTGTATGATCATATAATGTTTTATGTAAAAATTTACTTATAGTTAAAACAAACTTACAAATTTATATTTTTACTATAATTACCAATTTATTCCATTGATAAATTAATATCATCATTTACAAATTCAGCTAAATAATATCTATATAATTTGAAAACTATACAACTCAGAACCACTATATGTACAGTACCAAAAGAATTTATTTATAATAATGCTTATCAATCTATCTTGCAATAAGTTATATGATAATGATATAAGTTTAATATATATTATCATTTTAAAACAGATGATATACTGTACATACAAACATTATCAGATTGATGGGTCATCATTCACACAGAATGTTAAATTAAAAATTATAAAATAACAGATGTTCTACATACTTGTAGGTCTCTTGATATTGAATATCAAGATAATTAAAATAATGTCAAGATTTGATTAGATAGAAATTTATTAACATATTTTTAATCTGTTTTAAAATATATTTGATCATATATTTCTCCTTAAGATCACAAAGATCAGCTCATAAATAAAATATTTACCTTCTCTAATTGGTATATCATTTCTATACCATTTCAACTGTGAAGCTGGTTTACTATTGTTAGCAAAACAAGCAATGGAATATCTTTCTGCTTCAACCACTCTCACCTCTTTTCTTTTATCACGATGATATAAAAGCAACTGTTGAGGAGGTACTATGTTAAAATAAAAATAATAATACAGTTATTATTTTAAAGAAATACAAAATTAGTTTGTATTAAAATGAACATTTATGAATTTAAAAGAGAAGCATTGCATTTGCAGTATTACCAGAATATACAGGAATATTTATATTAAAATTTTGTGATACTTTTTTAGTAAAAATAATAATAAAAATAATGATAGATTTTCTTGATAGTTTTTAGGTATTGTATTCTTGAAATATTTATGAAAATAACATATTATTTAAAAATGACCACAATCATGATGACGTCAAAAGTCTTTCAGCAAAGCTGTTTCATCATTGAATTCTTGAACTTCCTTCCTCTTCTGTTATCAAGGAATTGAAAGATGAAGTCATCATGATTAAGTAAATCAGAATGATGACGTTCATTTTTCTTCCATATAAAAAATGTGCATCATCAATCTATTGAAACTACTTACTCAAAACAGTCAGTCGAGCTTGGGCCCTTATAGGGTGGTTGAAGGGAGCAGGACCAACCTGAAAATACTCTGTTTAAAAATTTAACCTAACTTCTTAGAAAATGTCACTTTTTCTTTTTAAAAGAATCCAATTTACTTGGCATTGATACTCTCCTTCATCTTCTAGACGTGTCTCTCTTATCCTTAAATTATAAACACCCCTCCTCTCATCTACAATCATGCTGTATCTGGGATAACCTGGAATATCAGGATCGAATCCTGAAAAATGTAAAGAATTATAAATAGACATTGCCTACAGGATTCACAGATAATTTCATTTCAAGTTGATCACCTAAGACAAATCCATTTTTGCTCCACTGCACAGCCCCCATTAAATTTCCAATGTGACACTGAAGATCTACAGTTTGTCCTTGAATCACTTCTGTTTTTCTAGGCCTGACTCTAAAATATTGTTGTTGACCACTGACTGTGATAAATAAATAACATGTTTTTCTCAAAAGTTTAAAACATGTTAATTCATTAGTGTCAAATGAACTTGAAAAATTTAATAATAAATCAATTTTTATTCCTTAAATGTAAAAATATATTTCATTTTTCTGACGGACAGTTCTATGTTTAGTAGCTTTGTCTGCAAAAAATACTTTATGGTTAAAATTGAATATTATAAATATATTCACAGTGAAGCCACCTTTACAGGCAACTATAGAACAACTGTCTCCCTGCACGTAAAAAAATTTGTAAAAGTTCAGAAATGATAAAAATCGAAATGCATCTTCATCCTTTATCAACAAATTGAGTCACTACTTACCTGTCAGAATCAAATTAAATAAGAGTAAGATTTGTTTTTGATGATAGAAGACAGTAAACATTAATATGAACATTATTACAGATGCTGATTTATGTACAATGGACGGAGTGGCTGGATCACGGAACTTCCACCATCATGTCTTCTAACATGGATCAATAAATAATTCCGTATACAAGACTGACAGTTCAGTGCATTGCGTATTTTCACGCATTTAAAAAAATATATAATTTTTTAAAATCTGATTCAATTCGTATAATACTGTACAGATTTACAAATTTACAGTAATATGTGTTGTCGGAATTTTATCGATTGTTTAGAATAGTTGTTAATAACGATAGTTTATCGGTTATCGGTTTACTTTTTAGCGTTTTTTGACGTCATGAATGATGTCTGTTTATCTTCAGAGTGACGAATTTTATACGTCATTATGGGTTTAGATTTCCTGTTGATTTAAATATTTTGCACTTGCTATCATTAGTTTAGTTTTAAGCAATCTTATCACAAATATTAAATATCTCTCACGGAACAATGCCATTTTCTGAATGATGTTTAAAAATTTTAATTAAAGCAATTTATTAAAAATAGACACATCATTTTCATTATATATAGGTATTTTATAGATTATAATTTCAAAGTATTCAAGAATAAAAACTGATTATACACGAGCAATCAATCTACTGCATACTTACTACATTGTTAGTTTTTAGTTATTTTTAGTTTTAGGACAATATTCTAACAATTGACGAAAATGATAATGGATCATATAACGAAATGTTACTATTATTAGACTTGTAACTATGAAAATTATGCTGGATTCAAAGTAATTTGAAATAGTAATATATAAAAATTTAATTTTTAAGGAAAATATTAGCATGGAATGTGTTTAAATTGATAAGCACAACAATTTATGCAAGACTGTTGCTTGAATGCTAGCTATAGATGTGATATCCAATTGAAAAGCAAGCTTATCTGCATTAAAAATTTATAAAATTGATTATAAATATCTTGGGGAGATAGGATCCTTTCATGTAAATGGTATGGTTAGGTTAAAGAGAGGAAGTGAAATAAAAGAGACTTAGTTTTAAAATAGATTCTATATATATCAGCTTCTTAGAAAGTTCAGAGCGAATAATTTTAATGCAAGTATCCTCTTTATCCGCAACGCAAACATGCTTGCTTCAATTTTAAAAGTTATTTTGGATTTTATCGGGAATATTTATTTCTCTCTTTTATTGTAAACTCTAAAGACATTTAGAATATAAAGATTCTCATCTATTGTTTAATGAGAATTTAGTTTTACATTTTGCTCTATAGATACAGCAAAACGAAAAATTTAATCAATGATGAAATTTTATGACTAACCAATGTTTGAGAAAACTTCTCGTCATATAATCAGAAAACGATTTAAGTGTAAAATTTTCAATGATGACCTAAAAAAACAAACTTGTTTGATGAAATACTGAAAAATTTGAGACTTGTAAGAGTTAAATTGTAGAATATATTAAAGAATAAACACATTAAACAGTTTAAAACAAATTCCTAAAAAATTTCAGTGTATTAAATTTACAGATTAAATATTTTATTCAAATAAAACTTTTATAACAACAAAAATTTATGTTTTAGGAGTTATAAACATCTGTTGTATGAACATTTTGATGCTAATAAAACTTGAGAAAATACACGTTAATTAAAATACATTTTTGTTATTTTTTAAAACAAAACTTTAAAAAAAGTCAGTCTTAAAATTTATAATAAAAGTTCAATGATGAAAAATGATAAATGACTGTAATATCAGTCAATAACATATTCCAAGCTGATATTTTTCTGCCAGAGTAATTTTAAAATCAATTAATATGTGAAAAATATTGATATAAAAAAATTTTAATCTTAGTTGAGTAAAGTTTTAGGCATTTTATCATTTTAGATGAACTTGTTACATTTAAAAAGAAATATTAAAAATACTTTAAACATTTCTTTAAAATTTTCAACTTTATTTAGTCTAAAATACAAACTATAATCTGATATTTCTGTTATTTACTTAAAAAAAAATGTTTTCTTTATTACGTTTGTGTTTTAAAAAGTATATAGGCTACTGTACTAACTTGTATCAACATGGCTTTAACTTTAACTCTATAAACTATTAGATTATAAATTTATACCTATGTAAATTTAAATATAATTTGTAATAATTTCTGTTTTATAAAATAATTATACGTTGGAATATTAGTATATAATATTGTCATAATAAACAAATTTATACACAGTACAGTATTTAAATTAGCGTCAACAAAGTAAAAATCGTTACGTGATTATTTCATGAGAAATTTGATATTCAAACGATTTGTTATTGCACAGTTTTAATGTATTTTATGTAATTCTTAATTTGATATAACAGTTAACATTATTTGGTATTGACTCTTGTGTTCTTTTCACAGCTAAAGTATAGCCGATTCAGAAAATTTCGAGTCTTTATTTCAAACAACAGAAAAAAATAAACAAATTTATTTATTTTCTTTAATTCTAGAAGTGTTTCTTGATTATTATTTCACATTTCAATGTGAATAATAAAAATTTCTTCTTAATCAGAAGTATTTTATCACATATTTATTTTTTTAAATATTAAATATATTTTAAGTACACAAAATGTTATCTTTTGATTGCATTAAATAATCGTTATCTGCTTTAGCATAAGAAAAATAATAAGATTAATATGAGTGTAATTAGTTTTCATTATTATTTACAGTATATGAAATTATTATTATTATTATTATTATTTAAATATACCCAAAACGCTATTCAAATAAAGGAATAAAGAAACGATTCCTTTAAAGTCGGAAATGACTAATAATTAATACTTATCATGCATAAGAATGAATATATTTAAGGTACACTTGCCCTATGTTATCACTAAACTAAGTTGGTAAAAGAAAGATGCTTATTGAGTTCATCTTTTCTTATAATCATTAGTTATGAAATCGACTAAAAGTGTGATTTGAATAACATTAATATGTTTATCATATTGTGAAACCTCAAAATGAGGGCACTCCCAACAACTCGGTACTCAGAGTTGAGCATGAAGTTCTGAAAAAATTTTATAATGAGAGTTAGAAACCTTCACTTTTGTAAGCCCTGTGACTTATGAATTATATTAAGCTATTTTGTTTTAAAACGCGGTTTGGTACGTTAACAAATTGCTTAGCGGTAGAGAATATGAAAAATAGCGTGACTTACAGAAAGCGAAAGTCATCCACACTTTTTAATTACTGTTGAGCCCGTATTTGTCACCAGAGTTACTGTTTTTTTTTAAACAATTCAGTATTGTGCATCAAGTAAGCAAACAGTAGGAAACGATGAATCTAGACTATCAGAAACAATAGAGAAGACAAGAACGATTCGAAAGCAAAGCTAGCTGTTAATGAAGATCGGAAACGCAAAACGACGCTAAAAATGTAATATGGGAAGTGGAAACACTACTAAATTGTAACTGATTCGGTCACTTCTGAATTATAAATTTAACACCTTGCTGTTATCAACAGAGAAAAACTCCCATTTTTACATAGGGTATCGCCAGAATGAAGAAAAAAATCCGATTATTGGGAATGTAGACAAAACAAGGAATTTACAAAAATGTATTTGGGGAATATCCTGCGTGCTTATGATAACATCAGCGTTTTCAGTCTGAGATGCTGTCATGATAGTTTATTAAAAAAATTAGTAGTACTATAAGATTTTCCCGGATACGGATCCACAGATAATTATCTATGATAATTTACTATAATGTTTTCACAACAGACAAAAATTGGATGAGATTAGATTGAGATGAATGCCGGAAAGGAATTCAAATTAGCAAAAATATTTGTTATTAATCTGTAGTTTTATTTTTATTAAATAATTTTAAGACTATTGATCATAGATGAATAAGAAACGATTATAAATATCATTGGCTTGTTAATCATACGATTGATACGAATTAATATTCCAATTGACTAATGTATTCTGATGGAAGTTAAGATTTGCTTTGCATTTATGTAGCGCTCAGTCATAACATATTTTAACAATGAACGAGCAATTATTTATTGTGACATCGTCACAATGCCGGGCTGCAATTTTTAATTAATTAATTTTTTAAAATATATTCTCTCCACCTCAAATTAGTAGGGACTTGCCTCTGTAAATCATACTTTTCCTTTAACTATAGAGTCGTGCCGGTCAACTATCTAACACCTTTCAGGGAAAATTGTTGAATTGAAACAACATAACTTCCGGTCTGCACTAGAAGTTCTTATATAGTTAATCGGGGCCTCCTGTCCCAAAGGTTTCCATATCTTGTATCGTCTTTCATTTATCTAACTCCGTTCTCGAGATTAAGGAAAGACGGACGGACAACAGTGGGAATTTATAGGTCTACAATTTTTTCAAATTGCAGCCCAATGAGTTAAAATAGGAAAGATATAGTAAAATATAATGGTGTTCTTAAACAGATTATTTTTACAGTAAGCATGGACGTCCGCAGAAAATTTTCCCTGGATGGTAAAAGCTGGAGACAATTACATCGAAGTTTTATTTAATTTTTTGGGGTTTTTTTAGATAGACAAAGCGTTGCGTGGTTTAGGGTATAAGTATACATCTCAATCACTTTTACGATTATAATTTATGGAAATTTTTAACTTAATCCCAGGGGAGGACCAAGTACTCTGTTTGCTTTCCTCTGCGTACTCCCATGACAATAAGTAATTCATTTTTTACAGTTAATGTAACGTAAGATGATAGAGCTGTGTGTTTGCGTTTTACTATATAATTTTGTATATTTGTGTGATAAACTAAGCAAAACTAGAATTAGAAAAAATACTTATAAGAAAAAATGTATTTTTATTGTTTTTACAATATGTATATTTAGCTTATAATAAGGATAGCTTTTATTCTAGATTATTTATTGAAAAATTTGATGTTTATATAAATAAAACTCATAGAATAACTGCTTTTTAAATTGTTTACTTCCAATTCTGCCTCAATTTTCTTTAATTTATATATGGATGAAATTTATATTGAAACTATTCCATAATATGAATGTATTTTTATATTATTATGCTTATAACGAAGAATAAAACTTATCCGTGGACATGCTTTATATTTTATTCATTCACACAGCTTCTACTGTTGTATAATGTAGCTATCCTCTCAGATTTTTTTACTTATCAGAAATGTTAGTTAATTAATAAGAGTAGGCCTACTGTAATTAAGATTTTGCGTTATCAAAGTTATCGTGTACTGATATGTCTATTATACATCATTTTATCAATTTTATATTTTTTTATATTTATTTTTCATTTTCATTCACGATATAAAATGTAACGACACAGTATAGGTTCATTCTACTTTAGCAATTAGCTCGTTACAGTAAAACATTGTTATAAACAAACACACGCTGAAAATAGTAAAATAATGTCTTATGCAACAGATATCTGTTACAAAATTTTAAATGTTACATAATTGAACTAAAGGATTTGACAAATACAAAATACTCTAGTCTCTATACTTTAAATACTCTATGCTAATTGTTATTATAACTTACAAAGTATTAAAAATCGTAATGAAAAGTAAACATGATATTTAATGAAATAGCGTGAATTTTGGCGTTACTTCTGTTGGAAAAAATTGATCGTTTTATTCTAGACTTATTCCTAAAGAGAATTTGAATCGTACATTTCATGGCTGAATTAAAGATGCAGAGGATATGCATCATTATAAAATTTAATGTTCATTCTTTAATAGGTCAGTCTACTACCATTAATAAATAATCTCTTTCCTTTTTTCAATGTTAACATACAAATTATGATTTTATTTATACATATACTTCTTTGAAAAAGCACAAACTCTCAAACAGCACATTTTTATTCAATATTTCCGAAAGTGAACATTACATTATATCTGTTTTTTTAATATTAAAAACAGAATTAAGGAAGAAGTAGAGATTCGAAATGCACATTCTACAGTAAAATCATATAAAAATAATATAGTATAATAATAAGAAATTTCGAATTTTTTTCCTAAAAATAACTTACTATTTATACTGTATTTCCTGATGATATCAGTGAAGAAATTTATAAATTTTACTGTACAGATTAAAGCTATAAAACATTTAAATGTTACGTTTGTTAATAATCTATTATTAATTTAATGAGACTATTACTATGAAATTAATACTAATTTATCAATTTTGACAACGATTTAAATCGCTTTCATTATTTTATATTAGAATTTTTATTATTAGTATTTACAGTTTTAATTGTAAGGGTTTGTTCATGATATCCATACAGGAAGGGAGAGGAGGGGTTAAAAAGTTATAAACTCATTTAATCAAAATTTTATATATAAATTATATTGAAGTCATTAATTTGATAAAATATATATAACTAATTAGCTGACACTAACATTCATAAATAATTATTTAATAGAGAATTTTATATTCAAAAGTTATATAATAAGTAATTTCGATAAAGCCAAATTGATATTTAGTGGAGAAAGTATCTATTAAAAAACACACAAATAAAAGAAAATACAAGGAAATAAGAAATATAAGAAAAAATAATTCTCGAAAGTCGACCACAATCTGATGAAATCCTCTTCTGTATTCAGTAACGGTCGGGTGATTCCGAATAAAGATAAGTAGGGGAATAACAGTCGTTGGACCACTAATTATAGAAATAGAGGATAGTAGTTTCGCACTATGCAATCAAAACGTTATCTCGACGATCTCAGTCAATTTCATAGAAAAAAACATCCATCAGAATGTATTGTATATAAATCTAACATTTGAGA